ATTTCTTGTCAGTTATCTTTGGTTTTGTCTGTGGAGTTTTCCCACATCTTTCCCGTAGCTGTGAAATGGCAGGTCACTTGTGTATATAGATGACCCAAAGTATATATATGATTTCCATAAACCTGGACAGGAAGGCAGCCTGTAGAAAAAAGGCATACTGTGAAACAGAGTGATAGCTTCGAAGTAGAATGCCATTTTTCATTGGTTGTAAAAAACAGTGATAATGCATAATTCCTTCTCCCTGTCACATGACGCAAGTCAGGTTTGACCGTAAGTGCCTGGGTTTTTCCGCCAGTTGCACAAAGAAATTCCAGGGAAGGAACAGTGGGATACGGTTTAACGTTTTCCGAATCTGTTTTGAAAAATGCAGATGAGCATCTATATATCAAGCCGATGATACAGATGAAGTATCTGAAACCAATATATCAAAGATTCTTCACTTTCCTATAAAAGTAATTTGGCAGCATGCCATTATTATCATGTAAATCTCTTCCTCCTTACTACACAATAACAATGTATCTTTGGCCATCATCCTTCCTTCCTGAGGTTGTTGCCGTTATCTGTAATTTCCATAACGTTTCCATGTTAACAATGCTTACTTCTCTGTACACTTACATTAATAGTCAGTGCACACTTCCAGAAAACAAAATATCTCACGTAAATGTTTTGTGCATCCCTGTTCCATGTTTTTTTGAATTAATACGGCTAAGACATGTTTTAGCAGAGGCTGAAGTGTCACATTTAAATTTGCTAATCTACTCTACCTTTGCCAGTTTTTTTCTTTACGTTATGCAGAGTGCTCATATTTGGCAACACATGTCACTGCTTGGGTTTTTGCTTTAAGAATTATCAAACTTGTGTAATAGATTGTATATAGTATTGGAAACATAGAATATTTCTAGCATGATTTATTGAGTTACATTAAATGGAAAATGCATACGTAGATCAGAGGTCATCTCTGCTCAAGTATTTAATAAAGTATGGTGGAAAAAAGAGGTTATTCAGAAAATTGTGGGTGGTTTAGTGTTTGGGGTTTTGGGGTTCTTTTTGGTGGTGGTTGTTCCCCTCCTTCATTCTTCTATGTCATCAGTCACTGAAGTATCAAATGCTAATGTCTACGTTTCCATCTATGTCTGTCTGGAGTATTCAGTTATTTTCTTTTATGCCACCTTTATAAGGGAAATATGCACGTCTACTTGTTTGGTTTTGGCAGATGTCTTCTATTTTCCTTGTCATATGTCAAAATTGGTTATGATAGAGTTGATTTTCCTCCGTTAAGAATTTAATTTTTTTCCGTTATGTTTTCATCTTTCTGGAGGCTGCTTGAATTATTAAACACTGGACATGGACCTGTGTGGAACCAGCTTCAGGAAACTAGTAATAGACCATCTGTATCGTAGCTGTATGTGCATTAAGAGCATGCTTCTTCTGTCATGACATGGTTTATAGATGGGGAGCTGGGACCGCCTATGTGTTGGGCATCGCAGCTGATCTGGCACATGGTATATTAACATATCGGGTATGTTAATACATTGCAGATTTGGAAGTGGCAAATCTGTGCTTCCATTTCCCTGCCGGGGCAGTGGTTTCTTTTTGCAGGTTCTGTTGTTTGGCTGTGCTCTGAGCTGGGCTTGGGTTAAAGTGAATGGAGTTTGGGGAAAAAGAGGTTGATTTATCTGGACGAGTTGGTTGAGAGGGTATCTGAACAAATAATTGTACAGACACTGCTCAAGGGAGGGTGCCTACTTGTTAGGGGTGGAAATGATTAATCCACTGCCAAGGGAATAATTGCATGGACTTGAGCCCTTGTCCAGTATTCCTGAGGTGAAAGACTTCTTCCTCTGTAAAGAATCGTGCAGAAAGTGCTAGACGTAAGCATCAGTGCAGTTTTTATGTTAATGTCTCAGGAAGTATTAATGTTTGTAGAGATTGTGGTGGTGGTGCTTATAAAAATATACTTGAGGTTTCAACGCATACTGGTTTACTTATCCTGCTTGGTTTGGAAAAGCATTTAGTAATTAAGTTAAAATAATTAAATTGGATATTATGAGCACAGGATAGATTTCAGTCCTTTTTTCCTCTCGAGGTTACAAAATATTATTCTTGCATTAGCATCTTGGAGTCTGTTGAGCAGAGATTTTGGGTAAGTTAAAAACAAAAGTTCAGCTAAGGTAGAATAAGAAGACTTGGTGTCTTGGCATAGAGAGTGCACAACATGCTTACGGCTGATGGCTTGGCATCCATATTCTTTTCAATAAGAAAATTTTAGAAAATTTCATTGAAAGTGCAGCATCACATGATTCTGTAATTACCTTTCTGTCTAATATAAAGTATTTCAAAATGACGTTTTGAAAATCAGTGGCACTGTGTCCAGGATGAGTATGGAGTATTACAAGGAACCGCTCATCCAGTTTTACTGTGTCATCTGAATATTAACTCTGGCACAGAACACCTCAGAAAAGGCAATCAAGTTTTTAACACAAGAAAGCGGCTTCATTCAGATAAAGATGTTATCTGCCCCTCCACTTGGGGATACGTGGCTTCAGGGAAATACTCAACACCTTGCAAAACCAGCTATGCCCTTAATGCAGAAAGGCCAGTCATCGTTTCCATTCCAGCTTCAAAAAACATCTCGGGGTGAGGGTGTTACCTAGTCTCCCTGCATCCCGGTGGGCAGTGAATGGTCAGTAGGTATGCTGAGTGCCCAAGCCTTGTATTGCCCAAATCTTGCTATGCTAGTCTATAGAAAGCTACACAGTTTATGCTGTGAACAGATTATGCGCGTCTCTTGAAAACCAATCTACACTTGACTTTTCAAACCTTTTCTGGTTTAATTGCTTCAAACATGCTGTTGGGTACTGCTGTAACTTTGAACTGGTGAAATATGAAATAAAATCTGAAATAAATCATAGAATCATAGAATAGTTTGGGTTGGAAGGGACCTCTAAAGGTCATCTAGTCCAACCCCCCTGCCGTGGGCAGGGACATCTTCAACTAGACCAGGTTGCTCAGAGCCCTGTCCAACCTCACCTTGAATGTTTCCAGGGGTGGGGCATCCACCACCTCTCTGGGCAACCTGTGCCAGTGC